GGCAGGACCCGGATGTGCGGCCGGCCGCGGGGCTCCCTGGGAGCTGTAGTCCCAGGGACTGGGACCTGCCCGCCCGCCTTCCCCCGGCCCTCGTTAAGGAAGGCGCTGTTAATTACGAGGCAGGAGCAAGGCAGTTAATTAGCACCACTGAGAACGCAGAGAGGCCAGGAGAAGTCAATTCTCAGACAACAGTGTAGTATCAGCATGACCAATAACCCCATCGTGGGCAAGGCCTAGCTCATCCACTGGCATGATAATTTGCTAACGAGCATTTGGCCTCTCTCACCCCAGCCCAGGCATACCCATCTGCTCCAGCCTACCCAGCACAGCCCCAATCCGTCCCTTCCTAACTTAGGAAGGGCACAGACGCAGCTACACACGTGCCAGCCCCAAACACACTGACACCATCTGCTCAGGCAGACCAAACTGCAGGACCTGGCCTGAAACCGGCAGCTAGGAAAGAAAAGGGGAACAGTCCTGTTCATGTGATACATGCTGAGCATTCTCCATGCTAAAATGCCTTAAAGCATCTCTCATGGATAAAGCAGAGCTCAAAGAGGTAATCAGCTCAGCAGATGTAAACTGAAAACAGAGTTCCCCCTACCGTCAAAACTATTCCCACACTCGTGTCAGCCTTCAGGTTTCCTAGCGGTTGTGCTTCTACCTCTGATAGAGTGGGTGAACAAGCCAGCTTTTCTCTCCCCACTAACATTGCATTAACAATTAGCACAGCACAAAGTTCAATTTTAATTACAGCTCATGTTTTCACAAGTTTATCTTAAAATCACACTTACAAGTTGCAATAACTTTACAATTAAAAAGTAGTCACTAAACAAATCCCTTGAAGACCACCCTCCACCAGTGCCATTCCTCACACATTCCTAACATGAAAGGAGCAGTCAGTTGCTGCTGCTCATCACGGTATTCCTTAGTGCAAACCCACAGGTTGGCTCTTGACTGGGACAGTTGTAAGGCTTGATTCCGACACACACCACACAGGCCTGGCAGCCAGAGCGCTCAGTGGGTCAGGGACTTCCTGCCTTTCAGCATGCGCCGGAGAAACTGCTGGTGTGCTGATACGCTTGATCCAGCCATGGGTCCGCTTGCGTTTCCGATTGTTTGGCTGATACTCATTCCCACGTGCCTTCATGCGTATCTGTTGGAGGTTCCAGGAGGACACCGGGCCAGCAAGACCTTGGCAGAGGCCTGCAGGCTTGAAGGAGAAACTGCTTCTTAGAGGCTGCTCCAGTGAACATGAGACAACTGAAATAGCCCGGAGACGAAAAGGAGAAACTGTAGCTTGCTGAAGTAGAAAAAATCTTTGGAAAAAGGGAAAAATAAGACAAGTTAAAAGGTGCTACAACAGTGCCCTAGAGTTTTGGAAACCTAACACAGCACGGCAGGTGCCAGGGCTTTTAGCTCGACAACGCAACTCATAGATAACAGAGGCAAATAAGGGACTTTGCCACAGCAGCGAGGGCAAAGCTGTCCCCGCTGGATGGGCGAGCCCCGAGGGGCCCGGTCACCGCGCCGGCCCCTCTCCTCAGACACCCCCAGCCCCCCGGGGCCTGCTCAAGCCTCGTTATCTCGCCCCTGGGGGCAGCGCAGAAGGCGCTCTCTGATC